TGGCCCCTCCCTGTTTCTTGAACCTGCTAAACACAAGCCCCCCTCAGGGCCTTTTTACCTGCTGCCTCCACTCCTCAAAGCGCTCTGCCCCTAGGTAGCTGCTCTGCCCTCTAAGTCCCTGCTCCAACATCACATGGCCAGTGAGGCCTTCCTGGACCATCACATTTAAAACAGCCTCTGTCCCCATGGGCTGGGGGCACAGCCTACACACAGACAGCTTGTCTACCTCTCCTTCTAGAACACAAGGTTCACATGGCTTTGCTCTTTTCCTGCTGAGCCCTGGCCCGTGGTGGTGCCTGGACGTGGCTGGCCTCTCATGCATGCTTGTGGGGGTGAGGAACAGGTTCCTGCACCTGCTTTCCTAGGTCGAGGTTCTGGGCAACCAGGGTGGGGGTGGGGGCATTCTGAGCCCAGGAATGGGGTCTCTGAAGAGGGGATGATGTCCCCAAGAATTTAAGGTACCTCAGGCATGGTGGTGCACCCCTTTAATCCCAACACTCAGGAGGCCGAGGCAGGAGGCTCACCACCAGTTCAAGGCCAGCCTGAGCTACATAGGGAGACCCTGTCCCCAGAAACAATAACAAAAACAAAACAACAACAATGACAGAATTCAAGGTCCTGCCAGATTCTGCCCTGTACTGGAGGAGCAGGGCCCCTCAGAGTCACTTTCTCTTTCCCCAGGGAAGGGACCCGGGGTCCTGTGGATGATGTTGGTCCCAGGCAATGTTGGTCTTCCTGGTGACACCTGCTCTCCAAGTTCTGACGCACCCCCAAAGATCCCCAAGGAAGCAGAGGGGTCCAGGGGGCCAGGGCTCCATAACCTCTGAGCTGTATGGATGCTGAGCTCATAGAGAGGGAAACTGAGGCTCACAGAGAGGGAAACTGTGAGCTACAGTGAGCAATTCAGACAGGAGACCCTGCACTAGAACCCCGGGAAGCGACAGAAACAGGAACGGCAGCAAAGTCTAGCTGCTGTGTGACCCTGGGGGAAGCCACACAACCTCTCTGGGCCGCTTCCTAGCAGAGCCCTGGGCTCACAGGCTGCGCATGTCCAGTGTGGCTCTGACCTCGCCCCTCCGAAGCCCCGCACTGTGGAGCCTCCATGCCTTCCTGTTTACTGCAGGCCCCTCTCAGGCTGGGAGGCAACAGCTTTGGCCTCCTCTGCTCCCCGCTTCCTTCCTCTCCCACTTCAGTGCCTCCGGCTTAGGCCTCCAGAACCCTGAGGCCAAGACACACAGTGCTGCCCAGGGGGGCGTCTGAGGCCACCATCTGGGCAGGGCCTTCCCAGGAGCAGCCTCTCACAGACCCCAAAGTTAGAGACATTAACCCTGCTGGCTGCTTAGCAGCTGGGAGCAAGCTGCTGCCTGCAGTGTCCCCAGGGCCAGAAGAGAGACAGCATGGGTGACCTTCTCCGACCTGTGCTGGCCACACCCAGCAGGAGGTGACACACACCAGCCCTAGACAGCCCCCCAGCACCTTCTGATCCTTCTGCAGAGCAAGGTTTCCTTGAGTGACTCACAGTGTGGCCCGAGGACTAGTGGCTTGGGGGTCACCACCCAAACTGGTCTTACCGAATCATAATCCACTTTTCCCCCCAACTCCTGGGATCTTGCTCATGATAAGCAAATGCTCTACCACTGAGTTACATCTCCAGCCATATTTTTATTTTGAAATAGGCTCTCACTACATTGCCCAGGCTGGGCTTGAACTCATGACCCTCCTGCCTCAGCCTCCCAGGTAGGTGGGATTACCATTGTGCACCACCATGCCCAGCCAAGTTTTCATCAGCCCCTAGGAGATTCGTGTGCTGTTCCCTGTAAGGCCAGAGGCCCTGCAGTTCTGGCCTTCCTCTCTGCCTTGAAAGCCTTGGTGAGCCTCACCTACTCAAATCCATGAAGCTTTACAACTTATTGCCAGCCTCTGGGCACATCAGAGAATGGAGGAGTAGGTTAAATGACAGCAGGTAGCCGAGTGTGGCAGTACACACCTGTAATCCCAGCACTTGGGAGGCTGAGCCAGGAGGATTGCCTCGAGTTTGAGGCCAGCCTGAACTGATCAGCAAGACGCTGTCTCAAAAACCAAACCAAAACAACACCAGGAGGAAGCAAGAGATGAGTCTGGAATGAGGGCTCTTCCACCTTCACAGGCCTCTGTCACAGGAAGGGGAGAGCTGCCTGCTATTAGGAGAGATTTGTTGACCTTGAGAGTTCTATTGGTCAGCTCAGTGAGAGGCTTATGTGGCTCATGGTTTCAGAGATTTCAGTCCATGATTGGCTGGCTCAAGGGAAAGGAGAAAAGCTGCTCACTCCGTGATACCCAGGAGGCAGAGGGGCAAAGAGCCAGAGAGGAAGGGGGCAGGGCCCAGACTTCCAAGGCCACGCCCACATACCACACCCAACAAGTAGGCCCCGCCTCCTAAGCATCCACCTCCCCCCATAGTGCCATCAAATTCTAGCTCCTTGATGGATGAACCCAAGGGCAAAGTTAGAGCCCCATGATCTCGCTGTCTCGGCCATCCACAGACACCCTAGATGTATCCTTTACTAATTTCCAGGGTGCTTCTCAATCCAATCAAGTTGACAATTAAGATTCACTGTCATGGCTGGGGATTTAGCTCAGTGGTTCCACCACCTGCCTTGCAAGCACAAGGTCCTGAGTTCAATCCCCGGTACCAAAAACCAAAAAATTCACTGTCATGAGCCAGGGATTCAGCTCAGTGGTGCCGTTGCCTGCCTTGAAAGCACAAGGTCCTGAGTTTGATCACTGGTACCAAAAAAAAAAAGATTCACTGTCACAACAACCAAACACAGTGCATGGCCCTGGCCTGCATCCTGGTTTCAACAAACCAGCCGCACGACACATTTTGGAAAAACTGGGAAAAATTGCACATGGACTGTGAATTAGCTAGTGAGCTAGGGCTGTTGAAACTCTGGGCTGTAAAGTCATACGTTAGGGGCAGATTTTCTTCACATCTACAATTTACTTTCAAATATGTTGAAGCCCAGCATGGTGGTGCATGTCTGTAATCTCAGCACTTGGGAGGCTGAGGCAAGAGGATCACTGCAAGTTCAAGGCCAGCCTGATCTGCATAGCAAGACTCTGTCTCAAAACGAAATAACAAAAACAATAGAAACCCAAAAATATAAACCACTTTTTTTTTTTTTGGTACCGGGGATCGAACTCGGGTCCTTGTGCTTGCGCAGCAGGCAGCGAAACCACTGAGCTAAATCCCCGGCCCCATAGAAACCACTTCTGTGTGTGTTTGGTTTTCCTTGGTGCTGGAGATCCAACCCAGGACCTTACACACAGAGAGCTACACCCCCAGCCGGAGCCTACCTCTTTCCCAGCCTCCCGTTGTCCTCAGCAGAAGAGCCAGGTACTTGCAGGCCCTGCAAGCCCAGCCCCTGCCACCCCAGGCTGATTTCCAGCTGCTGCAACGCTCAATGCTTCCCCCCAGCCCCCCACAGCTCCGAGCTCTGCCCTCTGCCCTTCTGTGGCCTCTGTCCCATACCCTCCTCCCGGGTGACTTCTAGCCACTGCTGCAGAGCTGGGAGCCCAGGACTGAGGAGCTAGACCGGCCAGCACAGGGGATATCCCAGAAAGTCTGCTGACTGAACAACATGCCTGAGGGACGCTCTCACAAGGAGATGATGGTGGCAGTCGCCACAGTTTGAAACTCGTGCTTTGCTGTTTTCACCAAAGAGCATCTCTGTATCCATATCTACATGGATGGATGACCGGTGACAGGTGATCGGTGATAGGGAGGTTTAGCTTTCTCTCCGCCCTATCACAGGATCTGCATCTGTGGGTTCAGCCGACTGTAAATAAGAGACATTTGGTACCAGCCTGTAATCCCAGCACTCAGGGAAGCTGAGGCAGGAGGATCATAAGTTCAAGATCAGCCTGGGCAATTTAGAGACTTAGTGAGACTCTGTGAAAAGGGATGGAGATGAAGCTCAGTGCAAAGGGCCTGGGTTCAATCTCCATTACTGCAAATAATAATAATAATAATAATAATAATAAATTTTAAAAATTACATTGTACTGAACATGTACAGACTTTTTCCCTGTCATCTTTCCCCGAACAACATGGTACAGCACTATTTCCAGTGTTTGCCCTGTGTGGGGCAGCGTAAGTCATAGAGACAGAGGCAGATGTGTGCAGGGTCCATGTCCTTTAGATAAGGGACCTCCCACAGGTGGGTCCCCACTGAGCACCCTCAGAGTTTAGTATCCATGAAGGGGTCCTAGAACCAATGTCCATGGACACCCAGGGACAACTGCCAAGGTTTTGCTGTTGTTTTTATTTTTTTGAGATGAGGTCTAGGAGCCCAGTCTAGCCTCGAACTCTTGGAGGTCCTCCTGCCTCAACTCCAAGTTCTGGGATTACAGGCGTGCACCATTTTGTCTGGCTTTTTTTTTTTTTTCTTGGTACCAGGGATCAAACTCAGGACCTTGCGTTTTCAAGGCAGGCAGTGGAACCACTGAGCTAAATCCCCAGCCCCTGGCTGACATATTTTTAAGTGGAGAAAGTGAGTCTATGGTGAACAGTCCCAAGTCTGGGTCACATTGGGTTTCATAAACCAGGACTCACTCGAAGTCAAGGAGCTACAGCTAAAGAAATAAAGATGATGGCGATTTTGTCAGATGACTTTCTCCAGCCCTTTATCTTCTTGGTAATATTTTCCACCATCCCCACCTCCACACTGACCCTCAGACGACCTGATCAGAAGGGTGTGAGTGTGCATGCGTGTTTGTGTGCATGCACACGTGTGTATGCACACCGGTTTAACAGCTCCAACACTGCAGCGTGGCCGGTGCCCATGACTCGAGGCTCCCGAGCTTGCTGCTTCCAGAGGCCGAGGCGGGGAGCACAGGGGCAGCTGCAGGGTCCCCACAGCCCAGCTAACAGAGGCCCGGCCTTGCCTGCCGCCTGCTGGGGCCGCCTCTCCCCCCACCCCGTTCCACGCAATACTCATCACACGTTCCTCTTGCCATAGATTCACCTTTGTAACTTAAATATGTTTATTTTGGAGGAAAGTTTAAATAACCAATGTCAATGGAAAAGCACAGCCACTTTGCCACTAGCAGGGGACACAAAATGAGTGCCACTGCCCCGCTCAGTGTCCTTCCGGGCTCTCAGGCCGGGACAGGGGCTGGGAATGGTGAGCACCACACTGAGCCTTCCTCGGTGACAGAGCCGGGGCGGGGGTGGAGGAGGGAGGTTGCTCCCCCTAGGCCTGGGTGTCGCCAGCACATCCCTGCCACCCTGCTCTGGTTTCTGGTCACTGCCAACCCCCACCCCTTGCTCAGCATGTCCCTGTCCTGAACCAAATGAAGGTGGTGGCAGGGGACACCAAATGTGTTTTAGACTGGAAAGAGGTCAGAGGGCGGCTGGTCCCTGGGCAGGGCCACCTTGGAGAGGCACCAAACATGCCTCCCTCATTCATCCCGTGTCCTTTTTCCTCGTTTTTTTCAGTTTTCTGAGACAGGGTGTGTACCCTATGTACCCCAGGCTGGCCTCGAATTCAGTGATCCTCCTGCCTCAGCCTCTCAAGTGCTGGGATCCCAGGTGTGCACCACCGTGTCCCGCATGCATGCCCTGCTCAGACCCCCGCAGTGTTGGGCACCCAGGGGGCCGATCCACTGTGCCCTCAGCTGGCTGGTGTGTGCTGCCCGCTGCCCAGAGTGCCCACTTCACTGCCTGCTGCCGTCCAGGCCCCTCAAGGGTCAGCACGGAAAACACAGCTCAGCGAGACGAGGGGTCAGGGCCGAGGCCACACTGCAAGGGGGAGAGGAATGCGAGACCCCGGCCCCCAGGCGCCTGGGCCGGCCATGGCCAGGTGAGGAGGGCCAGGGTCCCTGGCAGGAGGAAGGGGCTGGCTGAGGTGTGGGCGATGGGCTGCAGACTCCGGCCCTGGACAAATCAACTCCAACTGGAAGCAAAGAAAGAGGAGGAAACCAAACGTCCTTGGAAATGCCTTTAGTGCTGGTGCGGCCCGACTCAGGACAAGGTGGCTTCCTGTGTGCCATGGCCAGGTGGGTGTGGGCCAGGGCAGGGTGGGGCGCAGGGCTCCAGTGTGGCTACTTGAGGGCATCCAGGTGGGTGCACACCTGGGCGAAGACGCTGTCCACGGAGCCTTCGGCATTGACCTGTGGGGAGACAGGCTGTTGGGTCCGGAGCAACCGCACTGGCCAGGGGCCCTGAGGCAGGGCTGATCTCCCCCAGAGAGCTGTGCCTCCCTGAGCCCAGCTGTGGGAAGCGGCAGCCTCTCACTGCACAAGTGGGGAAACCAAGGCTCGGGGCGCTGGGCTGGCCTGAGGTCACACGCGGAGGTGGGCTGAGCACCTTGCGGACAATGCCACGCTTCTCATAGAAGGCGATGACAGGCTCGGTGGCCTTGTAATAGGTGTCCAGCCGCTTCTTGATGGTCTCCTCATTGTCGTCCACGCGCCCGCTGGTCTCCCCGCGCTTCAAGAGCCGCTTTGTCATGGTCTCAGAGCCTGCGTCCACGTATAGCAGCAGCGTGGGCTGTCCAATCTGTGGGGGGCACCACGTCACAATGAACCCATTCTGCCCCCGTCATCTACCCCAGTCTTCCCACCTCTGAGGACCCTTCGAGACACCCACACGGACAGTCGATCCCTTCCCCATGCAGCCAGAGGGACCTTTCTAAAACTGACCTTGCCGGTACCTCCTCTGCTCAAACCTCTCCCATGGCTCCCCAGTGTCCTCAGGAGAAAGCCTGAGGTCCTTATCTGCATGGTCATGCCCTGCTCTACCAGCCTGCTCTGCTCTCTCCCATCTCCTTCCCACAGGAGACCTGCACTGCCCTCTCGGCCAGGAGCCCTTCCCACAGAACTGACCCCAACCCACCGAGCCTCAGTACCAGGCCCTCACCTTCAGGACTCCGCCAAGTCCCCTCCCATTCTGTCCGGAGGGCCTTCTCCGGATGCCAGCCCACTGACCTCAGGCCCCGGGACTTGCTCTTCCACCCCCTTTTATCTCCCCTCCTTGCAAGGACCTTTGCGGTTATTTATTTAGGGTCCCTGGGCCTAGCCAGGCCAGGATCCAGGCTGGAGCTGATAAGGACTTGACAGAGAGCAGGGGCTGAGTCCTGGGCTACTGAGCAACATCACTGTCACCACCGGATGACTTGGAAAGGCAAGAGCCAAGCCAGAGGTGGCAGCACTTCCTTCTCCTGCGTCCCCAAGAGGTCCCCAGGCCCGGCAGAGAGCAAGGGAGGGAGGCTGACTCACGGCAGCAGGGCCATCCCTGGGGGTTGGGCCAGACTCTAGCATGACCTTCAAAGCCCTCCCTTCCCTGTCCCAACTGCCTGGGCCTGTCCCCAAGGGCCTCTGGACAGAGGTCACCAGACCCTTGAAGGTCCCCTGGCTGCTCCCTGGGGCACAGTTGAAGGACCGAGCCCTGATCCACTGGGCCCCTCAGCCCGTGAGCAGCAGCTGTGTGAAGCTGGCAGTCCCCCGGCCCTGAGGGCCCTCCGTCCCAGTAGCCACAATCCCCACCCTGACACATGTCCCTGTCTCCAGCGGGTGAGGATTCAGGGCAACACCTCAGCTGCAGACGGAGTCTCGTTTCCTCTGAGGCCCCAGGACGGAATAAAGGCTACTTCTAACCCTGGGGGGAGGCTGTGAATCCAAGGCGGCAGCTCAGCCTCCTGGGCAGGGTGGCCCTGGCTGAGGTTCCTCTTTGAGGCCTCAGTTTCCCAGTCAGAACAATAGGGATTTAGCCTGGGGAGTGGTCACTGGACACTGCTGTCCCGGGGAAGAGTCGTGGCCCAGGGCCAGCCACCTCCAGGGCTCCCTCCCTCCTTCAGCGAGGCCCTAGCGCCTCCCGGTGTCCAGAGCTGAGAAGTTCAGCTGCACAGACTCCTGGAGCCACCACAGGGCCCCGCAGTGCCCATCAGTGCCCACAACAGCCCCAGGAGGGACAGGGTCGTGACTAAGCCCATTTCTTTTCTCTTCTTTTTCTTATGTGGTTCAGGCAGGCCTTGGAGTCACTGTGCAGCCCGGGCTGGTGAGCCTCCTCGCCTGTCTCCCAAGTCCTGGGATTGCAGGTGAGCGCCACCATGCCTGGTACCAGCCCCATTTTCTCCAGCCGAGCGTCCCAGATGACCTCACACAGCTGCTGTGTGTGCATCAACACAGGGCAGCACGCCGGGGATCTAGCTCAGTGGTTCCACCGCCTGCCTCGAAAGCTCAAGGACCCGAGTTGGATCCCCGGTACCAAAAAAAGAAAAGACAGGGCAGCGCATCTGGCCTCAGGGGCCTCCTCATTCGAAGGAAGCCCAACCAGCCCCATTTCACAGACAGGGAAACTGAGGCCCAGAGCACATCAGACATTTTTTTGAGGCCTTGCACAGACACATAGGTCAAGAAATTCAGTCTGCAGCCTGGATGGGGCCTCCAGAGGGTAGGTGGGGTCCAGACTTACTCCCAGTCCACAGGGCTGCCTGGTTAGCCCACTACCACCACCCTGGCTGGCTACGCCCTCCTGGGTACTTGCGGCCCCATCAGAGCCCTCTGTACAGCCCAGAACGTGTCTAAGTGTGTGCATGCGTTATGGACCTACGGTGTGCACATGTGTACGCCCCTGCCTGTGCATCATGCACTCGCCTGTGGCCCTGTGTGGGTGTGCTCATGAGACCTGTGTATGTGTGTGTGTGCATGTGCTCAGTGAATACAGGGAGCATGCGTGTGTCTGTGTGCGTGTGTGCACCTGGTGGACCATTCTCGGAGCCATCACAAGGCCTGCTGCTGGCCTGAGGAAGGAGGCAGATGTTTTTCCTCGGCATTCAAGGCCCAGGCAGGCCGGAACCTCGGTCCCCCTCATTGCTCAGCCTCGTGCCTTACCCGCCGCTCAAACTCCTCTCCCTGCTGCACCTCCCGGGGGTAGCCATCAATCAGGAAGCCTTTGGAAGAATCCACCTTGGCTACCATGGCGTCTCGGAGCATGTCCAGCACCGTCTCCTGCGGGCAGCACAGGAGCAAAGGTCTAAGCCTCTCCTCCCAGCATCTCCCTGTGCCCGTCCTGCCTGGACACCCCCTCGGGTACACACGGGTGGCTCAAGGCTCCCTGTCCCCCACAGGTCTCCTCTGACTGGAGACCGTGGCCCTTCCCCACTCTCGGGAAGCTCACGGCCTGCAGAGGGGACTGGCAGTGACAGAGCTGGCTGAAGTTTCCCAGTGTGACGTGGGCTGCATGGGCAAAGGGGCTCCTGCAGTATGAAGTGAGGGGGTCTCACGGGCTGGGGCTGTAGCTCAGTGGTGATGTGCTTGCCTAGTATTCTTGAAGCCCTGCATTCAAATCCTCAGTACCAAAAATAGAAAGAAATAAAATACACTTCCCATGATTTTTCCGGGCGTGGTGGCACATGCCTGTAATCCCAGCACTTGGGAAGCTTAGGCAGGAGGTCTGCCATGAGTTCAAGGCCAGCCTGAATTACATAGCAAGGCCCTGTCTCGAAAAACAAAACAAAACAACAACAAAAATAAAAAAAGAAAAAGAAAAAGAAAAAGAAATTAGGGAGTCTCAGCCCAACACCAGGGAGGCAGGAGGACCTGAAGGCTGACAGATAAAGAATGTTCCAGCCAGGAAGGAACTGGCTGGTTGGAAGGGAAGAAAGGGTGGGATCCCTCAGGGTTTTGGGAGCTCCTGGAAGGGCCATGGGGAGCCATGGGGGGTCAGGGGCCACCTTTCCCACTTCCCACACTCAGAGCCACCGGCCTCCAGCCTTGCCCCACCGGGTGACTCACCAGCGGCACCAGCTGCCCCTTCTCCATGATTTCCGACAGCTTCTTGCCCCTAGCCGAGCCTGAGCTGACCTCAGTGCGCAGGAGGTCCCCAGTGGAGAGGTGGGTGTAGCCATACTTCTGCACGATCTTCTCACACTGGGTGCCCTTCCCGGAGCCAGGCCCGCCTGCAAGCACCCACCCATTCAGAAACCCCAAGGGATGGGACCCAAGGAGGGCACAAGGGCTGCTGGGCTGCGCCGGTGTCTGAGCCACTGCCTGCCAGCCCGAGACTCACCCACCACAAAGATGATCTTGGTTTTCTTTAGCTTCTCTGTGGGAGAGAAAGGGGAGCCGACCTCAGTGGCCTGTAACGCCTGGAGGCACTGAGGCGAAGACCTGGGGGTTAGAACTCAGCTCCGCCAAGGGGCTGGAGCACCACCCCCTGCAGTGCCGCCCTTCGGGGGGCATCACCTCTGGCCTGCTGGTCCCTCTCTTTGTGAGAGTCCCTAGATGAACAGCAGCCCATGGGCCCGCTCTGCTGTTTCTCCTACCCTTCCCCTCCCAGACCTGTTCCTGCCCATTCCCTGCCTGCCTTGGCACTACTACTGTGGAGCTGGCAACCACAATATACGTTGCTGTGGAGATGGTTGCCAGGGAGGAAGGGCACGTGGAACTCTTGCTTGGACAGGGAAGCAAGCTCGTGTTCCAAACTCCGCCCCTTTAGCACTCACAGCCCCATTGGGCAGAGGGAAACTGAGGCCTAGAGAGGGAGGGGTCTGCTCAAGGGATGTAGAAGCAAAACCAGAACCCAGAATTCTCTTCCTGGACTTCTGGGACCTCCCCTTTCTCTGGGCACAGAGGCCCGGGGCACATCCCACCATGCTGTGTGACGTAGGAAAGAGGTATCCACCCTCTCTGTTTTGTCCCAGGCCCTAGGAGGAAGTGGACGTGGCAGCTCATGGGGCTCCAGGGGCCCCATGAGGCCGGGAGCTGAGAGCGTATGTCAGAAAAATAACTTCTCCTTGGGTGAAGGGCACAAGCCCAGAGCTGCAGGGAGGCCACAGCCCTGTGGCAGCTGACTTTGGAGTTCAAGAGCCCACAGGGCTGGCTTCAGATGGTGGCAGTGGCCAGGCCTGCAAGGCCCCTTTAAGATCCACCCAGTCTGAGGCCCAGTGCCAGGGCCTGAACGAAGGTGCTGCCAGAAGCCTAGCCAGCCGTTCCAGCCTCTCTGCCCACCCATGTCTGCCTCTCAGGCAGGCCCAGCACATAGGAGCCAGGAAGGCCCAAGATGTTCTGGAGGCCCATCCCTCCGCAATAACAGGGAAACTGAGTCCCATGGAGGGACAGCATCTTGGCTGCTGTCACCCCTTGACCCTTGTTGGCTGTTCCTCCTTGTAGGAAGGGACAGGGACCCGCTCTGGAAATCCCTGTGTAGGAGGTGAGCCAGGCCTGGAGCCTCGGGGAAGCCTTGACACTTCTAAAATTAATCTTGACACTGGTGCACCTTGGGAGAAGCCAGAGGAGGATGCCGAGGTGTCCAGATGGCCCCCCACCCTCCCAGGGGTCCTCCTCGGGGCTCCCCCCAGTGCATGGGCACACTGAGGCCCAAGACCATGGGCAAGGAGGGGGCCCCATACCTTCCATCCTGCCAAGGTCTCGGGTCCAGGAGCTGGCTCAGGGTGCTGCAAGGCAAGGCACAGCAGGGCTGAGGGGCCTCCCGAAACTCGGCCTCCGCCAAGCCACACCCACAGGGGCAGTGTCTGCGATGGGAGTCCCAGGCCCCGACACCCAGTGTGAGGACAGAGGGCTGCTGGTGACCGAGGGAAAGTCACTTTCCTCGATGGCTTCCACTGCCTCACGGTCCTGGGGGCAGCCACCCCTTTTTGCCCCCTTCCATCCTCAGACCACGAAGGGGCCCAAGGGTGAGGACAGCAGTTGCTGAGTTGCTGCCTCTGCTTGGAACGCCCAGCCAAGAGGGCGCAGGGCCAGCGTCAGCCTGGCCACCTTGACAACAGTCCCCAGGGCCCACGGGAGGAGGCGGGAGGCAGTGGAGCTGGGCAAATCACTGTCCTCATCTGGGACAGGACCGCTCCGGACACCGGTGCACTAAGACCCAGGTGCCAGAGGTGGAGGAGTTGGCCGTTGCTGCTCACAGAGACACAACCCTTTCCAGTCTTTTCCTTTAGTACTGGGGACTGAACTCGAGACCTTTGCACTGAGCCACCTCCCCAGCCCCCTTTTCAATTTCATTTATTTATTTATTTAGAGACAGGTTCTCACTGCGTAGTTCAGGCTGGCCTGGAACTCACGAGGTAGCCCAGGCTGGCCTCGAACCCAGGACCACCTTGCCCCCCGGGGCCCCAGTAACCTCTGCAGCCCCACTGACCCCACTGCGGCCTGCCCCCCCCCGCCCTGGTCCCCACCTCAGGCTGTCACTCTTGGTTTCAGGCTGCAGGGCCCCCTACCACCCCTGACTCACTCCCAGGCCCCAGAGGCCCCCGACTTCTCTAACCCTGCATAGGCTTCCTCATCCCTGCTGCCTGTCACTCTCAGAGCAGAGGCCTCTCCCTCGAGACAACCCCATATCTGCCTCTGTGGCCCCCAAATCTCCCTCCCATCAACCTCCGGTCACAGTGGCCTTGTCCCAGGCAGTCAGCACCACACCAAGTCACTACACCACCTTTCACATATGTACCCCTCCCTAAACACAGCCTGGAGCCTCGGCATATCGACAGGGCCAGGGCAATGTGGCTCCTGCCACCCCCTGCAGCTTTATCCCTGGCCAGTGGATCCCCTGGAGCTGCCTCATTCACCATGATGGCGTCCCCCCTCTAGGCCTTTGCGGGTGTTGTGCCCAACCATTCAGCTGCCCTCCCCAGAGGCTGTTGCTTAGGCTTCAGATCCCCTGGCCTCACTGCCTCCAGAAAGCCTGCCTGGACTTCACCCTGGACTCCCACTCTGGCAAGCGCCCGTTCTGAACACTGCAGGCCCGTGTTCCCCACCTGACTGGGCCCGGCATGGCTCAGCACAGGGCCGGAGACCTCTCTCCATCTGGGGAGGGAACTGAGGCTTGGGGAGGGCAGGTAGTTCCAGGGCCCAGCTGGACTCAAACAGGTGGGACCTTCAGTGGCTTTGCTGATGGCCGTGCTGTCCAGGGGCCTGAGTTATGGCCTCAGCCCTGCTGAGTGTGCTCAAGGAGGGGGTGTGAGCTGCCAAATAAGGGGAACCGTCCCAGGCCAGGGACAGCCACAGCAAGGCCCCAAGGGGTGCCCCTCCCCACCCGGCCCCCTCTTGGTAACCTAAGTCCCTGGGTCCTTCATGCACCTGCCATTTCCTTGGGCCAAAATAACTCAGGTCCTGAGGAGGCCTAGCAGAGGCCAGGGGGCCAAGACGGAGTTGGGTTACAGGTGGAGCACCCTGGCCTTATAAGGCCCCCATGCCCGGGCCTCAGAGTCTCCCAGGGTGACAGGGTGGTCTGCTAGGTGGCCAGGGGCAGCCGAGGCCCACTCACTCTGCTGTGTGACCTTGGGCAGCCGACGTTCCCTCTTTAGCCTGGCCGGGTGCTGTTGAAGGATCCTGGGTGGGTGGCTGAGCACGAGCAGCCTCGGAATCCCACAGAGCCCTGCCTGGCAGGAGGCTGGGGCAGGGCTGGGGCTCAGCATCCCTGGGCTGAGCACGGAGTGGGGATGCTCCCACCATGGAAGTGACACAGGCTGCCCCTGCCCAAGTCCTCAGGCAGGGAGCCAGGCCACCGTAGGCCCCAGCTAAAATGAGCCAAGGGCAGGGACCTGGAGCCTCAAGAGTGCAGACTGGGACAAAGTGGTCTGGGAAGCTGGGAGGGGCTGCACGCCCACCCCCGCCCCCGCCCCCGCCCCCGCCCTTGTCCCTGTCCCCTTCCACCACCCAGAGATCAACCAAGGCACATGTAGTGAGACACAAACCCCAGAGTCCCGGGAACACCGACAGGCAAACCCCGCAACCGTAACCAGGGATACAAACACAAACATGCGCCACGCAAAGGGCGCCTGACACAGACGCACGGGGGAGGGCGCGTCCCCACTCCCCGCGGAGACGCCCCCCTCGCCCGGCGGTCGCGCACTGACCTGGTGAGGGTGCGGTGGGCGCGGGGCCAGCGCGTGCCCTGCCGTCCTCGCCCAGCCAGCAGCGGCGACTATTTATAAGGCTGTCAGCGCGCGGCATGCCGGGAGCCGCCCTGCGCAGCGGAGGGGGAGGAGGGCGGCGGGCGCAGCCGGGAGCCCGGGGACACCGCGCCAGATCCTCTTCTGCTGCACGCACATCACTCCCGGGCCACAAAGCCAAGCTCCCCGTAGGACAGCTGGGGAAACTGACGCCCAGAGAGGTGAGGCTCTTTGTTCAAGATCCCACAGCGCAGTGGTGCCAAGGTCCCCCGGCCCCTCTTCAGACGCGGTCCAGGTGTCCTGGGCCAACACCCCACCCCACACATCTTTCCTTGTTGGGTGAAACCCTGTAAATTTCTCTGGGACTGAACATCACCCAAAGACCTGCTGGTTGGGTAGGTCGTAAAGAGCCAGCCTTGAGCTGGGCATGGTGCTGCACGTCTGTCATTAATTCCAACGCTCTGGGAGGCAGAGGCAAGAGGATCACAAGTTTTTGACCCCAGCCTGGGCAATTTATTGACTTTTTGACACCCTGTCTCAAAATAAAAAATAAAAAGAACTGGAGATGTAGCTCAGTGCAAAGGCCCTGGGTTCAATCCCTAGTGTTTGGGGGGAAAAAAGCCACAAATGGGTGTGTGCAATGCACAACCTTTGGGGGAAAGCAAATTGACAATGTAAATCAAAACTTCCAGCTGGGTGTGGTGGCACACATTTATAATCCAAGCACTTGGGAGGCTGAGGCAGGACGATTACTTTGAATTCAAAGCTGGCCTTGCTTACATAGGGAGGCTTTCCAATGTGCCCTTCTACTTTTAGAAATCCTTCTGAAGAAACACATGTGGGCACAAAATTTGTACAAGAAAGTTTACTAGTGCCAGTGAAGACTGGCAGGTGGCACAGCCAGAGGTCAGGCTTGGTGACTCCTGATAGTGGAGTGGTACTGGTGGGGCAGGAGGTCCTGGACTGGCACATGCTAGTGAGAAACAGACAAAATCCCCAGTCACCCAGGCTACTCCCCTATGCATAAAAACTATTCTAGGGTTGACGATTTAGCTCAGTGGCACTGCGCCTGCCTTCCAAGCGCAAGGTCCTGAGTTTGAGGCCCTGTACCAAAACAAAAAACAAAACTACTCTAAACATGTAGGTGTGCATGTGTGTGTGAGTGTGTAAAGTCTATCTCCTGATTTTTTTTCATTTTACCTCTAGTTTTACCAATGTTAAAATCACATTGTCTTACTATGGAAACACACAGAGCATGGGGATGCAGCCTAAGATCCCAGCTACTTAGAGACTGACGCAGGAGGGTGGCAAGTGTGAGGCCAGCCTGAGCAACTTAGCAGAACTGTGTCTCGAAGTAAAATAAAAAGGGTTGGGATGTGACTCAGTGAGAGAGAGCTCACCTAGCATCTGAGAGGTGCTGGGTCTGATCCCTAGTAATACAAAAACTAAGCAAAAATGGTACCATTTTAGAGTTGGTGAAATGAAACAAAACACTGAAGGCAGATGTGCGCATGGGACTCCCCAGTTGGAGGTGAGACTTTCCCTATTTATTTATTTACTGGGTTAGTTCTACTGGAGCTCACTCCCAGACCCTCATGCATGCTAGGCAAGAGCTCTACCACGGAGCTACATCTGCAGCCCTTTTTATTTTTTATTTTGAGACAGGGTCTGCCTAAGTCCCTATATTGTCCAGGCTGGGCTTGAATTGGTGATCCTCCTGCCTTAGCCTCCTGAGTAGTTGAGATTACAGGCATGCACCACCATATATAGCTCTCCAAGATTTTTTGATTTTCTATAAAAATTATCTACTACTTTACATATAAAATAATTTGAACAGGGAGGAACCTTGAGGATATCAGGCTAAATAAAATCAGTCAATCATAGCTGGGCATGGTGTTGCATGCCTGTGATCTCAGCATTTGGGAGGCTGAGACAGGAGGATCGCCAAGAGTTCGAGGCCAGCTTGAACTACATTTGTGGAGACCCTGTCTCAAAAAAAATCAAAACACCAGCCAGGGATTTAGCTCAGTAGTGCTGCGCCTGCCTCACAAGCACAAGGTCCTGAGTTTGATCCCCAGCACAGGGGGAAAAAAAAAATCCAAAACCCAAACCCAAAAACTGAGCCATTCATAGCCAAGCATAGGGCATGGGGGCACACGCCTGAAATCCCAGCACATGGGAGGCTAAGGCAGGAGGATTGCAAGTTCGAAACGAGCCTAGACTACATAGCAAGACCCTGTGTTTAAAAAAAGCCAATCATGGGCTGGTTATTTAGCTCAGCGGCACTGCACCTGCCTTGCAAGAGCAAGGTCTTCAGTTTGATCCCTGGGACTAAAAAAAAAAAAAGGGCCAATCACGATGAGACAAATATTGTATAGTTACACAGACACACACGTATTAGACTCATACAGATGGAAAATAGAATGGTGGTTGCTGGGGAAAAGGGCTAAGAATAGGGGAAGGGGCGTTAGTGCTTAATACGACAGTTTTGGCTCTGCAAAATGAAAACATTCTGAAGATTTGTTGCTAGATGATGTGAAATGGTTAATATAAACTTAATGGTATATTTTAAAACCATGACTTTTAAAATAAAATAAAATTTTTTAATAGAAAAAAAATAAAGTACCTGCTTTGATTATTTTATTTGCATATACCCTGTGGACTTTCCACAAATGCTGGGATATTAAAATGTCAGGGTTTTGGAGCCAGGGATTTAGCTCAGTGGTTTCGCCACCTGCTGTGCAAGCACAAGGATCCGAGTTCGATCCCCAGTACAAAACAAATTAAAAATCTCAGGGTTTCAAATTATATATTCTGTGATTTCAAAAATATTTCAGTACATATGCTTATTTGTTGGATTTTACTGCTAGGTCCTCTTAGTTCATTGAAAAGAAAGTTTTGTGCTATTATCTAGTTCTTTCTTTTTTGTAAGAATCTTTTTTGTGTGTGACTTGTACTCTAACATTTTGGCCATTCTTTTAAGATTATGGTACACAACTAATGTATTAACTAATGTTATTGTTTAATTAGTTATGAAATTTTGCTTTTTCATAGAAGACTTTTTTTAAAAATTTGGTACTGGCAGGCGGTGGAACCACTGAGCTAAATCCCTGGCCCTTCATAGAAGACTTTTTAAAAAATATTTTATTAATATCTACTTATATTACATTGAAATAAAAATTTTAAAAGGAAAAAACAAAAATCTCAGGGTTTTAGTTCCTAGCATAACCTAAAAAAGAAAAAACAGATGGGGGAGAAAAAATATTTACAGGAAAAATCTAGAAAATTTTACTCTGGAATTTTAATAGTGACTAGAATGAGAAATACCTTCACTTTTTACCTTATATCACCTATACAATTTATAATAAAATTTCTGAAAGCATAAGCAAATAAAAATGAAAGTAATTTAAAAAAATATTTTGGTTAAAGAAAGAATTCCAAGGCTTGTCAAGAAGCACTGGGGAAGGTCGGGGGATGACTTGGGGTGGGCTCTGCTGCCCCAGGTGGCCTGGCTGGTGGCACTGGCACAGTCCCTGACTTCCACAGGAAGCGGCAGGACAGGGAGCCCCGAGAGGAGCAGTTGTCCTGGGTGCGCAGCGGGGGGAGTTGCAGGGGCGAGGGGACACCTGGCCCTGAGGGTCACCAGGGGAAGAAATGATGGAGATGCAGGTACAGGTGGCCTCAGGTGCCCGCGAGGAGGGGATTGGTCCTGGCCAGTGTATGGGAGCCAGCACAGGTGTCAGAGGGAAGAGGGCCCTGGAGCCGCGGGCTTTGGGATGCTTCAGGATGCCACTGTTGGCAGTGAGCTGTCTCCTCTGGGTCGCATGGGCGCGTGAGGGTTGGCCTCTGCCACCTGCCCCTTCCCCCATGTCCTGCACCCGAGTCTCACCTCTTGACCCTCAAATGAACTTGCCCAGGGCCCACACCCAGCAACTGAGCCCCTGTGGTGCCCTCCTACCCAGTACCAGTGGGCACAGGGACCACAAGGTCCAGGACACTCTACCCAGAAGCTGATGCCTACACTCCAGTTCCCAGAAGCTCTGTGAGGAGCTGGAAGTGTGCCCTACTTGCAGAGCACGCATGTGCACATGACAGCCCCCACCCCTCCTCTACCCGCCTTACCACCTCCGTTCCCTCCTCTGGTCAGTCCCTTCTTATCTATTAGTTTTTCTGGTTTTGAGCTGGGGTCTCTCTAAGTCACTAAATTGCCCATGCTGGGCTTGAATTTGCAATCTTTCTGCCTCAGCCTCCCAGAGTGCTGGTGTGGCAGGCACGCACCACCACACCCAGCCGTCCCACTGGAATTTGACAGGCAGGAAGGATCAAGGCCTGGCCACTCTCAGCTAACATTCTTGGCCTTTTGCCAGCCAGCGTCTTATCTCATTGCTCCCTCCCACACTGCCATGGCAGCCAGGCTGTGGGAGGGATGGATCACAGCCTTTCCTCCCACCTGACATTTCCCCCTCTCAGCCACACCTAATATGTCGAGTACTTACTAGGGACCTTGTGAAGCATGAGACAAGTGCAAGGGGCCCCTCTTGCCTCCTGTCCCTCGCAGCCCACCGTCCTGGCTGGCCTGCTGCCCAGGGCAGCTCTTTCTGTCCCCCAGCAGCCCCTGAGAGATGCCAGCAGGCTGCCTACCCTTGTCACACACAGTCACCCTTTGTTAGGTCTTGATCCCAGCCCATCTTATCTGCCAAAACAGGTTGTACTCTCCAGAGTCAGGGACCCTTGCCTGCTGCCAACCTGGAATAAAGAGCCCTTGAGCGAAGAGGCTGGCTGCACACGTCCCACTCCCCACACCCCTGCAAGGCTGCAGCGCCCCCCCCCCCCGCTTCCTCCTGCAGGTCTGGCAGGCAATGTCCCTGGCCTTCAGGGCCCAGGCCCTAGCTGACCTCTGTGCTGGACCGCCTGCCACCTTCCTCTGCCTCTCTGCTCACTGCCCTTGTCTTCTCCTTCCTTTTCTCTATAGCTGCTTTCTGTGGCCCAGACAGCCTCCTCCAACTCTGTAGGGACTCCTGGTGTGCCCCTTAGCCTGAGCTCCTCGAGGGCACTGTCTGGTCTCACTTGTCCATGAGGGAACTGGGGCTCTCAGAGGCAACTTGACTCTCCCAGGGTCGGGCTGGACCCCAGACTCATCGGCCACCTCTTGGCAGGCTTCCAGCCGGGAAGTGTAGGCACGATTCTGAGCACACTCCCAGCTGGGACATAGAGAGGGGAGACACAGGATACAGAGCTGGAGCTTAGGTGTGTTTATTCCTGTACAAATCATTACAAAACCAAGTCTGGGCCTGTCACTGCCCTGTGTCACCCTAATGGGCAATGGCTTGCAGCTGGCTTCCGCTGTTGATTCCTTCCACTCCACAGTCTCCTCCCAGAAGCCCTGCCCTTCCAAGCTCTGGAAAAGTGGGGGGAAATGAACCCCACGCAGCGCCAGCTTTAGTAAAGTGCCTTCTTGAGGGGACAGAGCCCAGGTGACAGCCATCCCAAGGCCTGCTCGGGGGAGACCCCAGAAGCCCTCGACATTGCCAGACAAAGGCCACATGGGATCCCAGTGTGCTGGGATCCCCTTTCTCAGCCCCAAAGTCTCCTCCAACAGGTGGGGACCTCTTCTGCCGGAGGGTAGAAAAAGGAGGCCTGGCCCTTTCAGAGCCAAGCTAATGGCAGCTGGGCTGAGAGGCCAAGAAAACAAGCTGAGGTTTGTCCTATTCCTCTCGGTGTCCCCCAACCCTGGGGAGTTTGCACAAAAATACCCTAAGGTTCTCCAGGAGGTGGAGACGTGCACCCCAGGTCCCCCGAGCCTCTGAGCCCCTCAGCAAGGGGCAGAGGTTGGGGTTCCCATGTTGGGGTCAACAGGGTGCTGGGTGGGGGAGGCGGGAGGGTCTCAGACACCACAGTAGAACCTGATGTGGGCAGAAGGGTGCCCGGAAATGGGGAGGGCTTGGTCCAAAGTCACTCAGCCGAGACCTGGATCCCAGCCTCCTACCTGTTGGGCCTCCTCACAGCTCCACTACACCCCCCCCGATTCTCTGGCCTCACCTCCAGACAGCACCTGCCCACACTGTCTCCCTGTGATGGAGGAACTGGGGGCCCAACACCATATTCACAGCTCCTTGCGAAGGACCCCATAGTCCCAGCTGAGTAGGGAGTGATTTGGGGTCCATTCCTGGGCCTCTGAACCAAGGCCTCATGGGAAAGGACAGGTCCTTAGCCTCAGACTGACTCAGAAAGACCCCTGTACCCTGATTGACTATGCTCAGACCCTGACTCGACAAGAAAGACCTGACACCCCTGATGAACCACATAGAATCCCAAATCCCTGATTGGCCAAGAGATATCCCCAGGCACTCTGATTGGCTGGAGGATATACCCTCATCAAGCCCCTGATTGGCTGGGAGACACTCTGCCAGCCTCCATTGGTGAGAAGCTGGCTTGTGCTCGGGTGGCTGAGCCCAGAGCCACTTCTGTGTCCCTCAGGTTTCTCAGGCAGGATGACCTAGGTCCAGGAGGGGTGGGAGAAGGTGATGCCGTACAGCTGGGCCCACGACGAGAAGACTCTCTTCTCAGTGATGAAGCGGTGGTGGTTGCCCTTGCGGCTGTGTTCGTTCTGAATGTAGGTGACACACTCGTCTGGCCCCTTGGGCTCATAGTAGTGGTAGGGCATGCGTTGTAGACGGGGCCGCTGGCTGGGGCACAGCAGATGTGGGTGTCAGGGCAGGGTGGGCACCAGGGGGGACCCTTCCCTTTCAGCCCCTCACCTGCCATGGGACCTCAGTGGGGGAAATCCCTGCCCTTCCCATCTGTAAGATGGCTATAGGGCAGACTAGATTGTATCCATCCAACATTTTTGATTAATGCAGTGGAGACGTTCCCTTTCCCCAAGAGGGCAGCAGGGCAGGGTAATGGTAATAACCTCAGGCTCTAACCAGACATGGTGATGCACACCTGTCATCCTAGCACTCTGGGAGGTGGAGGCAAGAGGAGGACCAAAAGGTGGAACCCACCCTGGGTAATTTGGAGCCTTCACAAGACCCTGTCTCCAAATGAAAACTAAAACGTAGCTGGGGATAGCTCAATGCAAAGTTCCTAGGTTCAATCCCAATACTACAAAACCAAATAAAAAACCCGAAAAAACAAAAAGCCCATAGGCTCTGCAGCCTGGGCCCAGACCTTGATATTTATGAGACCTCAGGCCACTCAGAAAGCATCTGCCTCAGTGTTCTGCACCTATAAAATGGGGAGAATGATAGCAGCTATCCCTTTGGGCCGCCGTGAGGTGCAAAGTAATAAACATATGCAATCATGGGACATGATCAGCACCCAGTAAGTGTACCTGTCTGCCAGAGAGCTTGTCCTATAATTATTATTAATAAAGAAACTCTGGCTGAGCTTGGAACAATCTCAGGATCCTTGGCCTCTGCAAGGCAGTTTCAACTCCACAAAAGCAAGGTTCTTGGGGCCGGGGATTTAGCTCAGTGGTGCAAGGACCCAAGTTCAATCCCCAGTACCAAAAAAAAAAAGCAAGGTTCTCAAATCCTGCTGCCAACACCTATTTGTTTTCCCTGGAGCGCTCACCTGCAGTAGTCAGGGGGGACCATGCCATAGACGTGCACGTGGTCACACAACTCCACCGCAATCACCATGGTAAACCAGCCCGTACTCAACCACGAATGGGACTTTTCCCTGGGGGCAGAGAGGAGTCACTATGAAGGGACAAATGTGCAGGGAGTAATGGTCAGCCTGCATGGGGTTTCCAGAAACTTCCAACCCGCCCTTGGAGGCCCCAGCCCATTCCCACAGGAGTTGTGGAAGCTTGTGGGCTGGCAGTGGGCTTGTCAGGCAGAGGTGAGGGCCACAGAGCAAGTGCCTTGAAGGGAATGAGTGGGACCTGGGGATGCTGGGAATAAACTCCTGGGAACACTGGTCACAGCTGGGCAGGCTGGGAGTGACTGTGAATGCAGAGCATGCTGAAAGCAGCTTTGCCTACACTAGGAGAAAACCCCTTAGGGAACCGTAATCAGAGAAGGTCATGCTAGAGTGACCACGGCTCGGAGCAAGGCTGGAAACAGTGGCTGGTCTTCCTCTATGGCAGCCACCAGCTCTGTGTGGTTACTGAGTACCTGACGTGTGGGTAAGAGGGACCAAATATACAATGGACCCTCAAGTGATGACTGGCCTGACATATGAACAACTTGGGTTATGACAGGAATTTTAGTTTTAACTTATGGCCAGAGTTTTGACTTCTGACTTCAATGCCAGCCACATGTGCTTCCAGATGGTCTCAGATACAGATTTAACCTTTAAAAGAATTCTGGAAGGAACATGACAACATTTCCTGTGTAGGGTTAATTGGGAAATACTGGGCCAGTATCTAAGGACACTGAAACCTGCCTCTATACGGAGAGATTCTGAAGGCTGTGTAGAGGAGTCTGAGTCTTCATTAGCCAACTTGAGTTGGGAACCAGCCAGCCCTCGGGAATGAATTGAGTTCGTAAGTCAAGGGTCCACTGTACAATGGATTTCTCGGACAGTATGAAAAAGGAATATAACCTGTGTTATTTATATTTTTTATACTGATTTCATTTTAAACTGAAAATACTTTGCATATATTTGGTGGAAGGTGATTCACCAAAAAGATTTCTTTAGAAAAGACAAATCTCTAGCAAGACTGACAAAGAAAAAGAAAAATAACACAAATTACCAATATCTGAAATAAGAGAGGAAATCACCACATACCTAGTAGACATTAAAAGGATAGTAAGAAAATTCCATAAACCACCACATACATAAATTTGACAACTTAGAGAAAATGGGTCAATTCTTTAAAAGTCACAAACTACCCAAGATAAAACAGGTAGCCTGAATATCCTCTCACTATTAATGAAGTTGGAAGCCAGGCATGGTGGTGCACACTTGTAATCTCAGTACTCAGGAAGCTGAGACAGGAGGATTGCAGAAAGTGCAAGGCCAGCCTGGACTACATAGTGAGTTTAAGACCAGGCTGAAGTATATAGCAAGACCTTGTCTCAAAAAACAAAAAGACAAAAACAAAATGGAAATTACATTCATCCTTAAAGACCCTCTGGTCCTGGGAATGTAGTTTACCATGTTTGAGGCCCTGGATTCAATCCCAGCACTAAAAATACAAAACAAAACCTTCTTTGAAAAAGAACACTCTAGGGCCCGACAGTTTCACTAGCAAACTCTACCAAACATGTAAAAAGAAATAACACCAATTCTACACAGTCTCTTCCCAAAAATAAAAGAAGGAACATTGCTTAACTCATTTTCCGAGGCCAACATGATCCTGAGTGCTTGCCTAGGATGCAGAAGGCCTGGGTTCAGTACCAGCACCACAAAAACAAAACCCTACAGACCAATGTATGTCTTATGAACACATATACAAACATCTCAACAAAATATTAACAAATTATATCCAGCAATATACACCACAAGCAAGTAAAGTTTATTCCAGAAATCCAAGGCTGATTCAAAAATCAACCAATATAATGCACTTGTTAGTAACCTTAAGAAAAATTACATTAATCATATCAATTGCTACAGAAAAAAATTATAAAATTTAATACCCAGTAGTGGTAAAAACTCTCAGCAAACTAGTAAGAGACCTTCCTCAACCTGATAAACAACAGCTACCAAAAACCCTACAGGTAATAGCAGATTTAATGAGGAAAAACTGAAATTTTAAAAAAAATTTAAAAAGGAGAAATTGAACATTTTCTCCCTAAGACTAAGACAAGATAAGGGGTCTACTTTCACCACTTGTAACTCAATTAACATTGTATTGGAAATCCTAGCCAGTCCAACAAGGCAAGAGAAAAGAAAATAAAGGCACAAATTGAAAAGAAAGAAATAAAACTATCCTTATTTGCATAAAATATAATTATCTGCATAGAAAATCCCAAAGAATCTACAAAAAAAAAATCTGCTAGAACCAACAAGTGAGTTTAGCAGTTAGAAGGCCAACACAAACACCAATCGTATTTCTACACACTAACAACAAAGAACTGAGAAGCCTCCAACATTAAAAAAAACATCTTTTAAGGGCCTGGATTTAGCTCAATGGCCCTGCACCTGCCTTGCAAGCACAAGGTCCTGAGTTCGATCCCCAGTACCAAAACAAAACAAAAAAATCTTTTAAGCAACTCCAAAATTTTTAAATATTTAGGTACAAATGTAACAAAACACAGACTGGAGCTATATGTTAAACATATTGGGTTAAATAAAATATATTAAAATTAAGTGTACCTGGTTTGGGTTCTTTCTTTTTTACTTTTTTAATGTGGCTGCTGTGAATTTTTAAATTACCTATGTGGGTCACATTATATTTATGGAAGGCGATAATCTAGGTTTTCTAGGGAGAGTAGTCAGAGAAAAGCATGCTGGGAATGAGGTATCCTGAGACTACAGCATGCTAGGAACAATGTGTGCTTAAAACAAGGCATGCTTGGAATAATTTTTGCCTTAGGAGCTCTCGTAGAAAGATGCTAGGAGCGGCTATGTAACCTTAGAGTAGAGCATGCTGGGATACTTTTCCCTCAGACCAAGGCATGCTGGGAGGAAGCTCTGGAGATGAGGCCATGCAGAACCCAATGGAGATGACCCTGTTAAGAGCAGGACTGGAGAACTCGCCTGGGAAACCTGCCCAGGGCGTGGCAAGAACCACCCACTTGGAGCAGCGCATGCGGGGAGCAACAGGCCCTGTGGGCGGGCCATGGCGAGTGCGCAGGCGGGAGGCTGGTACCTGTCCTTTCCCGTCTCACCCCGGAAGAGGTCGTCGAACTGTTGCATGCGGGCGGGAGAGACGGCGTAGGCCTCCATGTTGGGGAACGCCAGGCCTGCCCGCTGGATGACGCGCAACAGGCTGCCCTGCGGCTTCTGCATCTTGCTCGGGGGACCCCAGAAGATGAACACGGTTTCGGGGGTCCGGTTGACAAACTCCTGGGGCCTCCGCAGCACCCGGAACACACTGGAGTGGGCCACCACGCGGAAGGTGGTTTTGTTGCCCACATCGGCCGAGTAGCCCGTGGTGGGCGCGTCGTTCATGCGGATCGTGCACTCTGCCCGCTCAATCTCAGGGCCCAGTTTGGTGCCCAGCAGATGGCTGGAGCTGGTGACAATCACACACTGGTGGCACCGGGAGGGTAGCGTCTGGGGGGCAGGAGGACAAGACAGCTCAACACTATCACAGCCACTCTGAGTCCAGTCTTGTGTGCCCTGTACAACCGGGCCACTAGCAGCCACAAATCAGTCCGCCCGTTGTAAGGCTAGTGAAAGGAAGGCCACCTTCTACAAGTATTTCTAACAGGCAGATTAATGGCCAGGTACTGAGGACAGAGGGACACCCAGCTTCTGCTCTCAAGAATCTTACAGCCGGCCAGAAGCGGTGGCGCACACCTGTAATCTGAGCATTCAGGAAGCGGAGGCAGGAGGATCACCAGGAATTCTAGGCCAGGCTGGGTTCAAAGCCAGCCTTAAACTCAGTGAGACTGTGTCTCAAAAAACCAAAAGAAGGGGCTGGGGAATGTAGCTCAGCGCCTGACTGGCAAGCCCAAGGTCCTGAGTTTGATGTTTGATCCCCGACAACAAAAAAACCAAAAACTTACAGTCAGGCCAGCCATCTTGGTGCATGTCTGTAATCTCAGCATTAGGGAAGCCTGAGGCAGGAGGATTAGAAGTTTGAGCCCAACCTGGGCAACTTAGTGACTTAATGAGACCCCATCTCAAAAAATAAAAAAGGGCTGAGGATATAGCTCAATGCAAAGACCATGGGTTCAATCCCCAGTATCATTAAAAAAAAAAATAGAATCTTCAGTTGGGGAGCCATACAGTGAACATAAGTAATACATGCTAGGGAAAAAAAGACAAGACAAAACAAAACAGGGTCAAAGCAACTGGAACAGGAACACAGGCTTCTTTAGAAAGGTCATCAGAGAGGCCTCTCTGAGTGGACATGGGAAGGATGAGAAAGGCCTCACCCGGAAAGTAATCAGGTCAGGAGGAACCAGAAGCACAAAGATAGGTAGAAATAAAGGTGGAGCTGAGAACCAGAAGCCAGCAGCGGGGATCGGGGAATTAATAATAGGAAGGACAGAGCCAGGGCTCTCGCTGGATGTGGAAAGGCCCTGGGAAAATTTAAGGAGGATCATTGAGTGGGGAGAGCGGCACTGTGGTTGAACTCCAGAAATACAGCCTGAATGTCATGGCGTGGATAAGCAAAGAAGTCCACAGGAATGACCTGACCATCATCAGGAAGCCACAAACAACTTTTGAGCAAGCTACCCCTTGGCAGGGGTTAGGGAAGTCCTCTGGCTCCACCTCTCCCATGCTGTGTGGCCTTGGACAAGTGGCTTCCCCTTTCTGAGCCTTGGTTACCCCATCTCTTCACGGGAGGCAGTAATGCTGGCCTGCCAGGATTCACCTGAGGATCGCTGGTTATCAGCACATAGCAGGCACCTGCTGGAGGGCAGCTATCATTACTGCTTCAGAGTTGTCCAGCACCCTAGTGTCCTGTTCCCAGACCCCCATGGACTCCCTAGAGATCCGTGGAAGTCAGAGATACACGTCCAAGGGAGTTCTGACTCCGGAGATGGTGGGGCCTGGAGAGACCTGAGGACCAGGGAGTGGCTGGGCACTTATCCAAGGTCACAGCGAGCAAGAGGCCTTGACTCCTGGGGTTCACCCTTTCCTTTCTCGTGTGTTGTTTTGTTGAGACAGGGTCTCACTGAGTAGTTGAGGCTGACCTTGAACTCACTATGTAGCCCAGGCTGGCCTAGAACTCATGGTGATCCACCTACCTCAGCCTCCTGAGTGCTGGGATTGCAGACACAGGGAGGGTGTAGAGGGAATAAGAGGAGGAGGAGAAGGAAGCAGTACTGGTGGGCAATAGGGGGGATCAGCCACCAGCGGCTCCCTGGGGCCCCCCAAGGTGTCTGTGCTACCTTGTTCCCCAGGATGGGGACGAAGCCATCGGTGAGGCTCCACTTCTTGAGGTTGGGCCGGTACCCTCGGCCCCGAAGGGAGCCGTAATGGAAGACCTCATTGGCACTGTTGGAGCTGTAGAGGATGAGGATGGTGATGAGGGCAAAGAGGATCACGAACACTGCTGACCGCTGCTCCTGGAGAGGGGGGAGTCTGTGAGGGTCCAGGCACCCGCCGGGCTCCACCGTGCCCATGCCTCTTGCTGCACGCTCCACACCAGCCCTCTGGGATCCCCAGCACAGTACTGACCACGGTGTGCTCACACTGCCAGCCCTCCAATCCCAGCAGGAGCTCTGAGGACTGGGACTGGGCCAGCCTTGCACCCCAGATCCCAGGGGTACACATGCCTGTAATCCCAACACTCAGGAGGCTGAGGCAGGAGGATTGCCCCAAGTTCGAGACCAGTCTGGGTTACATAGTGACTTCAAGGCCAGCCTGGACTACATAGCAAGACTCTGTCTCAAAGAACCAAAAGCCAGAAAATTATAACAACAAAAAAGAGGGTTCCAGGGAGGGACTGCCTGACCAGATTGGAAGCATGTGTCAGGATTCCCTCCAGCTACAGCTAAAAAGCTACCCAGAGACATTCGAGATGCCTAGGTGAGGGGCCAGGTCTTCCTGGTAAGTTATCAGCAAACAGTTGGTCCTCTGCACCTGCCAGGGCCTTCCCACTCAGCTACATCCCCATCCATTTTTATTTATTTATTTTTTATTTTGAGACAGGGTCTCACTAAGTTTCCCTGGCTGGCTTGAACTTGCAGTCCTCCTGGCTCAGCCTCCCAGAGTGCTGGGATTACAGGCCATACCTGCAGGTTCCGTATTCAGGATTCAAAAAACCATGGGCCAATAAAGTAGGCACAACCTGCAATGGTTGTATCTCTACTGAACATGCATAGGCCTTTTTCCCTGTCATTATTCCCTAGATAAAACAGTCCCAAAGCTATTTACATAGCATTGACCTTGTATTAGGTACATAAGTAATCTAGAAGCTGGGTGTCATGGCGCAGGCCTGTAATCCCAGCTATTCAGGGGCTGAGGCAGGAAGATTTCAAGGGTAAGCCCACCCTGGATAATTTAGTGAGACTGTTTTTCAAAATTAAAAATAAAAAGGGCTGGGATGTAGCCCAGTGGCAGAGTCCTTGCCTAGTGTGTGCCAGACCCTGGGTTCAATCCCAGTAACACACAAAGGAAAGAAAAAAGAGAAGAAAAAAAGAAAGTGGTAATGAAAGGGGGAAAAAGTAATCTAAAGGTGACAATCCCCTGCAGATACCAAGGGAGGACTGCACTGTCTCTCAGCCCCAAGCTCACCTATTTTGCCCGCTTGGTGAAAGTTAATCTGGGCCCTTTAAATATCTGCCCTCGCCAGGCAGCTGCACATTCAGCTTTGTCGGTAGAGGGCGCTGAAGAGACAGCATAGCAGTAAAAGCCTTAGGGTGTGGGCTGCAGTGGATGTGCTTGAAGGCCCTGCAGCTCCCGGGGCTTCTCCAGCACAGACTAGCTGCGCTCACAGCCTCCAGCTCCTGCAGCAGTCAACTGCCCATAGCACCCAGAGGCCCGCACCTTCCCCTCCCCAGGGCCAGAGATTTAGCTCAGTGGTTCTGTCACTTGTCTCAAAAGTGCAAGGACCTGAGTTCGATCCCCGGTACCAAAAAAAAAAAAAAAGTTTAGAAGTCAAAAGTGTGGTGGTGCACAGCTGTAATCCCAGCACTCTGGGAGCCAAAGGAAGATAGCCACAAGCTCAAGCCCAGCCTGGACAACCTAGTGACTTAGTGAGACGCTGTCTCAAAGTGAAAAGAAAAAATAAAAAGGGCTGGGAATATAGCTCAGTGCAAAGCCCCTGGGTTCAACACCCAGAACCAGGGCTGGGGATTTAGCTCAATGGCACCTCGCCTGCCTCTGAAGCACAAGATCCTGAGTTTGATCACCAGTACCACAAAAAAGGAAAGAAAATCAATACCCAGTAGTGGGGCGGGGGATTTAGCTCAGTGGCACTGTGCCTGCCTCACAAGATCCTGAGTTTGATCACCAGTACCACAAAAAAGGAAAGAAAATCAATACCCAGTAGTGGGGCGGGGGATTTAGCTCAGTGGCACTGTGCCTGCCTCACAAGATCCTGAGTTTGATCCCCGGTACAAACAAAACAAAACAAAGAAACCATTACCACAACGTAACAATAACGGTAATAATAATAATAAGTCAAACAAATGATCATAAGTCAGGGACTGTCTATATTCCTTCGAGTTTCAAGGCCCAGTTTCTGTTGAGAATTCTTGGCATGAAACTTCCTGTTTAACATACCGCATAGTCTCTCCCGACACTCAGACTGATACAACCCCCAACCCCACCTCCAGACCTCAGCCATAACGGATCCCAGGTAAGCGGTGCGCAGGGCCAGGCACGGAGCGGGGCTTCAGGAAAGCAGCAATGAGTGACTGAGGGACTGAAGGGGACGCTGACTTCTTGGGGTGACTGGAACATTGCATCATCTCTGACTCTGACCACCTCCGCCCCGCACCCCATCTCCTGCACACGCTGCAGTCAGGCCTAGGGTGACAGAGGACACCAGGGCCCAGAGAGAGGTGGGAGCCCTCAGTGGCCAAAGAAGGCTCAACCTGGGCTTTGGCTGCTCCTCAGGGAAGACAGAGGCAGGGTGGCCGGGCCACATGCAGGTCCCAAGGAGCCCATTTCCCAGAGGGGAATAAGAAAGGCAGGGCACTTACTTTGCTGCTACTCATCTCTCGCCGGCGTCTCCTGAGAGGGAGGGGCCAGCGTCCTGCAAGTGGCCCAGGGGACAGGGATGCAGGGTCACACCTGGAAACCACCAGAAAGGGTTATAACCTCGTGGCCTCCCTCCTGTGGGTCCAGTTAGTCAAAGGCTCCGGATCTGTACCCTGTCAGCTCTTCTGCCCACCCTGAACTTTAAGGCTCAGGGTCATATCCACTCTACAGATAGAGACAGCCTGGTGACAGCATGCCCTGCTGTAAACCTTTGGCCCTGAGGCCACAGAATCAAGCAGCATTCCTGACAGGCCCCCAAGCTTCTCTGCTGTCCTTCTCCCCTTTCCGGGTTACACACCTCTGTCTGGAATGCCCTCCTTCCCACAACTGCCTGACTCCCATTCATCCTCCACGTCTAGGGTGGGCCAGGAACTTCCGGGGTCCTTTATCCGCTCAGGCCAGAGCCCTCTGTGGGCAGCGCCCCTCACTGACCTCACTGGGTCCCCACAGCCACGGAGGCTGAGCAAATCCACCCCTCAACAAGTAAGTGGGGAGTCAAGGGCACAGGCCAGCGTCTGAGGGGGGCAGTCCTGGCCTCGGCCCACTTCACAGAGCCTCCTCCCTGACTTTCCCTCCCCACCTGTAACAGGCAGGAGCACTTGCGTCCAGCCGGCCTCCAGCAGGCACAGGCCGGAGGGCAGAAAGGGCCGGCGAGCACCGGGAGAAACTGGGGCGGGGGTCCCAGCCGGTCCCCTCCTCCCGGGGCCGCCTGGCTCCGGCCACTGTCTCCGCCCCCTTGACCCGGCGGCTGTTTACTCCTACACCCGCGCCGGGAATAGCGGACGACCTCGGGCCAGAGCCGGGCACACACACGCCCCGCCCCGATTGGCCAGCCCTGGCCCCGCCCCTCCCGCGGCGCCCCCCTCTCCCCGCCAGGGTTCAGGTGTCTCCAGGGGCGGCCCCTCACAGCCAGTCGGGGAGACCCCGGGCTCCCATCCGTCCCCGCCGCACAGAACGGGAAACTGAGGCTCGGGGGACGCGGGAGCGGCTTGTCCTGGCACTCAGACCGACAGAGCGTAGACAGGAGGCAGAGTCCCGCGGTGGCCCCGCTCCACACTAGAGCCCATACCCCCAGCCGAGCCCCCCGTCCCGCCACAGTCCTGCTCGGGAAAGCCACGTCCGTGCAGCACGCCAGGTCCCACGCGAACCTCGGTTCCACCACTTACTGGCTGGGGGGCCTCGAGCAAGCCATGTGACCTCTCTGAGCCTCAGTTTCCTCATCTGCGAAACGGGAACAATGAGAGGAGGTAACTCGGAGGGTCGTGGAGGGTTTCGAGCAGATGTGGCCTAGGGTGCCAGGGCAGGAAAGTGCTCCACGGGCCGCGGGCGGCGCCCCTTCCCGTGGTCACGCTGTCCAGACCGGGCGGCTTCCTCCACTCTGAACCCCAGCCCTGCGGCCTCCTCCACTCTGAACCCCAGCCCTGCGGCTCTTTCCTAACCGGAGGACGTAACGGAGCCACGCACGCCAAGCATCGCCCACTGCCTGAGTTCCCCGGTGATGCCCGGCAGCCCCGACCCCCGTTTCCCAGAGGAGACTGAGGTCTAGGGAGGTCCGTGCCCGGCGGGCTGGGGAGCCTGTGACGGGCTTCGGAAGGGCTGAGCCTCCAGGGCCTCCCGGGACCCCCTCAGCGGACCGGACAGGGAGCCCAGGGAGAGGCCTGCGGGTGGAGGCTGCTCAGGCCGGGGAGCCCAGCCCCGCCGGGGCGGACGTGCCGGGGCTGGGGTGGGGGCGCGGGGTCCGCTCTCCCTGCACCCTGAGTCCTCCCGCGGGGTCGCGACGCCCCCACGGGCCACGTGGGAGTAGGGCTCCGGGAGGAGGCGGAGGGCTCCGTCTTCCCAGGGATGGGGTGCCGAGCCACACCTGCGCCCCTCCGCGCGGAACCCCAACTCGGGGGATCCGCGCCCGCACCCCAGCAGGGTGGAGAGAGGCGGCGCTGCGGCGGGTGCGGAGTCCTCGCCGGGGGTCGGCAGCGGGGGGGCTCGGTGAACCCCGCGATTGCTCGCAGGCGCGCACCGGGGCCCCGGGGTGCTGGGGCCGGAGGTGGGTCCGGGGGAGCCCCGAGCCCGGCTCGCCCCCCCCCGGCTCGCGCCC